CCTCTGAATACCTGTTGGAGGGTCAGCTATGTGTTGATTCCAACTTGACAATTTATAACAACAACAAGCTACTTTAAAAAAATTATTTTTTTAAAATTAGGGTAACAAATAACATTGGGTGTTTTTTTTTTTAATTTGGTAGATAGTTAACTATTGGTTTTCAATCATTTCTTCCCATTTTGTTTTATGACCCTGTTGTTTGAGTCACATAATGAATTACACTGTCTAGTAAATCCTTTATTTTAGATTTCCTTTTATTTGGGGCCGTTTAGGTGCTGTGCTGTATCAGGTGTTTTCAATTACCCAGCTTGATCTCAACAGTGAAGAGTATTTTATTGTTGTTAAGTGGTGACTACAACTCATAGCAACCCTGTACCTAACAAATCTGAACTGCACCCTGTCCTGCACCACCCTCGTGCTTTCCCGTATGTTAGAGCCAATTGTTAGAATCGCAGAATCTAACTATCTTTTTGAGAGTCTATCTTTTTTCTTTTTATTTTTTATTATTATTATAAATTTTAATAAACATTTACAGAGATTGTGGATTTCCAGTCATTCATTGTTACACTTTTCTCCCCACCCACCCCAACCGCACCCCTAGTTCGCTCTTCTTTAAAAGCAAAAAAAAACCTCCTTCATTGGTATACAGTCCGCCCGAATCTTCCCACCCTCACCCCGAGTATACATACTCCTCTGAAACCCTCATTCCAAACTCTTATGATAATCATAATGCCTTAAAATATATTATTTTTAAACTGTTCTCTCCCTCATCAGCTTCAATGTAGTATACATAATTTATCCATTTTTTTCTCAGACTTACCCCCACCCTGACGTCAGCCTCATTCTAACAGTGGCACCATGCAGTATTTGTCCTTTTATGACTGAGATCTTTCACTCAGCATAATGTCCTCAAGAGTCAACCATTTTGCATAATATTTCATGAGTTCCTTGTTTTTCAATGCTGCATAGTATTCCATCGTGTGAATATACCACAGCTTCTCTATCCATTTGTTTGTTGATGGGCACTTAGGTTGTTTCCAAATCCTTGCTATTGTGAACAAAGCCACGATAAACATGGGTGTGCATATATCTGCTTGGATGTTGGTTATGGTCTCTTTAGGGTTTATTCCCAGTAGTGGAATTGCTGGGTCAAATGGTATCTCTATTTGCAACTTTTTGAGAAAGCGCCATACTGCCTTCCACCATGGATGTACCATTTTACACTACCACCAACAGTGAATAAGGGTTCCAGTTTTTCCACAACCTCGCCAGCATATGTTGCTTGCTGTTCTGTTAAGTTTTGCTATTCTGACTGGGGTGAGATGATATCTCATAGTTGTCTTGATTTGCATCTGAGAATCTTTCTTTATCTGAACCTCCACCTCCTCAGCATGTTGTCTTTTCCCATGGGTTGACAACACATTCAAAGCATGTGAGGTGGAGCTCCACCACCTTTGTCTCGAAGGAATATCCTCCAAGGCAGATTTGTCTGGCAATCCATGGAATAGTCAGTCCTCCTCTCTAACATCATAATTCAACAGCATCAATATTCCATCTTTATTCATTGTCCCACTTTCAAATATATAGGAAGCAAGTGAAAATAAATTATGTTCACCTTATACTTCAAACTGACATCTTTAGCACTTTGAAAAGGTCCTTGACAGCAGATTTTCCCAGTGTAATAAGTCTTTGTCGTGGTACTAGGGATATTGTATCTAATGTTAGATGGATCTTAGCTGAAAGCAGGGAATACCAGAGGAATGTCTATCTGTGTTTCATTGGTTAGGCAAAGGCGTTTGACTGTGTGGATCATAAAAAACTGTGGCTGACTCTAAGAAGAATGGGAATCCCAGAACACTTGATCATGCAAATGCGAAACCTATGCTTGGACCAAGAGGCAGTCATCAGAACAGAGCAAGGAAACACTGTATGGTTCAAAATTGGGAAAGGCGGACGGCAGGGATGTGTCCTGTCTCCATACCTTTTCAATCTGTATGCAGAACAGATCATCCGGGAAGCTGGGCTCTGAGGAGAAATGTGGGGTCAGGATTGGTGGAAGATCTATCAACAGTCTGCAATATGCAGATGACACAACCCTGCTTGCTGAAACTGAGGAGGACCTGAAGTGCTTGCTGCAGAGGGTGAAGGATTACAGCCTCCACTATAGATTGAGGCTCAATGTCAAGAAGACAAACATTTTCACCACTGGACCAATTGGTAGCATCAGGATGGATGGTGAGGAGATTGAGATTGTTAACAACTTTAGTTTGCTTGGCTCCACAGTCAACACTCTTGACACCAGCAGCCAGGAAATTGAAAGACGTATTGCGATGGGAAAGTCTGCTGTTAGGGTCCTCTCCAAAGTACTGAAGAGCAATGGTGTCTCTCTGGAGACTAAGGTGCATCTGATACAGGCCATGGTCTTTGCAATCACTTGTTATGCATCA